AACAACAACAACAACAACAACAACAACAACAACAACAACAACAACAACAACAACAACAACAACAACAACAACAACAACAACAACAACAACAACAACAACAACAACAACAACAGCCACAGCAGCAGCAGCAACAACAACAACAGCCACAGCAGCAGCAGCAACAACAACAACAACAACAACAACAACAGCCGCCGCCGCAGTCCCACCAGACGCTGCCCAGAAGCCACACGCCCGGCCATCTTGCCAGCAAGAGCGTCAATGACCGGAGCGCGAGTGCCGCTGCCAAGCAGGGCGCCGAGCAGCACGCCGTCCGTCAGCGATCGCAGTCGGCGTCCCAGGTGCCCCCGCGGCCCGCGACAGCCGGCGGCAGCAAGAGCTATCCCAAGCAGCAGCTGCCGCCGCCGATGCCGCTGACCGCGGAAGAACCTGAGCGGGACACGAAGCGAGGCGGAGGCGGCGGCGGCAGCGGCGGCGGCCACATCACCGCGCGCACGACGTCGGTGCTGACGGCCAAGTCGACGGCGCCTTCGTCCCGAAGCACGTCGGCGGCGCACTCACACGCGCCCAAGAGCGAGCACGTCGCGTTCCCGCCGCTGCAGGACCCCAAGGACGCGCCCGACATTGCGCCGGCGCCGGCGTCGGGCATGTACTGGTCCCGGGCGCCCGTGTCGGGCGCCACTCACTCCAATCTGCGCGCGCACACGACGACGCTCGTCGGGTCCAACGTATACGTCTTTGGCGGGTGCGACGCGCGCACCTGCTTCAACACAATGTACGTGCTCGACGCCGACGCCTTTTACTGGTCGGTGCCGCACGTCGTCGGCGAGATTCCCGTGCCGCTGCGCGCCATGACGTGCACGGCCGTCGGCAAGAAGCTCGTCGTCTTTGGGGGAGGCGACGGGCCGGCCTACTACAACGACGTCTACGTGCTCGACACGGTCAACTTTCGCTGGACCAAGCCCAAGATTGTGGGCGACCGCGTGCCGTCCAAGCGCCGCGCGCACACGGCCTGCCTGTACAAGAACGGCATCTACGTCTTTGGCGGCGGCGACGGCGTGCGCGCGCTCAACGACATTTGGCGCCTCGATGTCGGCGACATCACCAAGATGTCGTGGAAGCTCATCTCGGGTCCCGAAAAGTCGTCGCCCGACCCCGCCGCCGCCGCCACGCCCGCCAAGGAACGACGGCCCAAGGCACGCGGCTACCACACGGCCAACATGGTCGGCAGCAAGCTCATCATCTACGGGGGCTCCGACGGCGGCGAGTGCTTCGACGATGTCTGGGTGTACGACGTCGAGACGCACGTGTGGAAGGCCGTGCCCATTTCCGTCACCTTTCGGCGGCTCTCGCACACGGCCACCATTGTCGGGTCCTATCTCTTCGTCATTGGCGGCCACGACGGCAGCGAGTACTGCAACGACGTGCTGCTGCTCAACCTCGTCACCATGACGTGGGACAAGCGCCGCGTCTACGGACTGAGCCCGACCGGCCGCGGCTACCACGGCACGGTCCTGCACGACAGCCGGCTGCTGGTGGTGGGCGGGTTCGACGGGAGCGACGTGTTTGGCGACGTTCACATTCTGGAGCTGGCGGTGCATGCATACTATTCGCAGATTAGTCATTTCACGATTGAGGTGTAAAGCATGGGAAAAAAACAAAAGCAGAAACGCTAGAGGACAGCAGCAGCATATGACGCATTTTTTTTTTTTGGCTTGGCATGGGCCTGGTAGTATAGAATATAGTACACGATTCAACACATGAGATGATGAAACCCTTAAAAAAAAGACGAAATATTCAAATGTTTTCAGATATTTGTGATTCTTCTATATGCCGTATCGTACAGTATGCTAGGCTGCAACTAGCTAAACAGACGCCAATTCTGCCCTGGTGCCCTCTCTCGGGCGCTCTATTCATCTCTAGCTCCAAGGCCCTTTCTTTTTCACACCATCATGTACAATGATAAGACTCATAATGGCTAGTGAGCTTCCTCAGCCGCGGTGATATTGTTTACATTGCAAGCGCAGCGCTTGATTCTGGTCGGGAGATTTGTCGTTTTTATGCAGTGTGGTGTACGACCTAGCTTTCAGACTGTTTAGTCTTGGTCGTGATGGTGGGAATGTGTCGCGGGTGTATGCGGTCAACAATGCAAAAAAGACTTAGGCCTGAGCTTCAGCTTTCTCAGTCTGCTCAGCCTTTTCCGACTTGTCATCAGCCTTTTCGGCCTGGTCGACCTTTTCCGACTTGTCCTCGGCCTTTTCCTCAATTTTGCTGTTGGGCGCGGCAGCCTCGTTGGCCTTGCGCTCAGCAATGCGCTTCTCCTCGGCCTCAACCATGTCTGCAAAGCTGTTAGCGTACAAGTTCCTTAAATTGCACAGAGGGCAGCGCAAATCCTCGGGGCATCACTTACCCATCCAGAGGTCCTGACCCTCGTACTCCTCCTTGTGGACGCGCTTCTCAATGAGGTGCTTGTGCTCCGGGTCGTTGGGGTCGAGCACCATGACCGTCTCCCAGCGGCCGCTGCCCGACTTGGCGTCGTTGACCTCAAACGCGGCCGAGACGATGAGCACGGCGAGTGTCAGGCCCTGGGCGTAGACGCGGGCCTGAACGAGCTTCTGGGCGGTGCTGATGGGGGCACGGCCGACGATGGCGAGGGCGAGGGCCATGGACGCCAGCCAGCTGGTGAAGACGATGCTGTAGCGGTTCTCCTTGCCCCAGTTCATGAAGCGCTGGTACGTCGACTCGTTGTCGCGGGCGATTTGGGCGGCGCGCTGGCTGCGGTCCTGGTAGCCCCACATGGGATCCTGCGAGCGCTGAAACTTGGTCGAGCAGCGGTCGGCGTTGACAATGGCGCAAAAGGTGGCCGACGAGGTGACGAGGAACGAGCGAAAGGGGAGCGTCAGGCTGCGAAAGGCGTGGTAGCGGCGCGAGGCGAGGACGACGCCGCCGAGACCAATGGCCAGACCGGCCCCTCCGCCAATGAGGCCGCTCTTGACGACGACTCTGTAGTGCGCGGCCTCTTCTTCCTTGCTGAGGATCTTCATCTTTGGGCGATTTGGAGGTGTATGAGGTGTTTTGGTGGGTGTTTTTGATTGTCTCGGGCGTCGGATTCAATGGGTTGATTTTAGGGCGATAATCTATGTCTTGGATGTGAATTTCTAGCAGAGCGTGCTTTATCGCAGCGTGATTGCATGTGCTTGCGTGGCGATGATGCTTCGATGAGATGCCGGAATCAGAAATGACGCTGTGCAAGCTTGATAATCCAATTAGTGGGCCTGTCCAATAGCTGGTCGCGTGTATGAAAGGCTACGTACCGAGATGGGTGTATTCGCTTATTTCACAACTTGTCGCGGGAATATGTCAATTGTATACAATAAAAAAAAAAAGGGAAAATGAGGAGGCTGAAAGGAGAGCATTTCGAGGGCACACTGTTGTTCATATATCACGTAAAAATCGCTTTGTCTCCGGAAGAAACTCGTACGATAATGGCAGACCCAAAGCCGGCATCCAGCCGGCCATCCGGGCCCGGTGACCTAAAAAAATATTCCCGAGCCTCTCCGAGAGTCCCCCGAAACTCGAACTTTGGCGTCATTGGTGCAGGATTGCATCACCGTTACGCAGAATTTTCAATGCTGATGCTGAAAAGGTAATGTTGATGAGTTTTTTTTTTTT